ATTCCATCGGATGAGATCGCAACAGAAGAAAATAAAAGTAATGGAATGATTTTCTCGTTCCAGTACACAAGTGTATTTTAAGTATGCATTCACGGCCAAAAAAAAAAGAATAAAAGAAAAAAAAAAAAAAAAAGAAAGAAGAAGAAGAAATGTTTGAATCCATTGATCAATCATCCCCTGGCAAGAATCAAAAGAAACAAAAAAAAAGGACAAGGAGGTACCATCGGCGAGAAAGGAGTGCAAGCTGAGGAGGAGGACGAAGAAGACCAAAACTACCGAGGGATGAGACGGAGCCATCATCTTCTTCTTCAATGATCACAACAGAGCTTTGAAGAAGAGTTGCGTTGCGTTGCGTTGTGGTTGTAAAGTGAGGATCGTTAACAAGTGCCACCAGCTGCTGTCGTGCTGCAATCTACTCTGCCTTCGCGGACAAGCGTCCCCCTACGAACACGTGCCAAACCACATGGGCGTCACGATAACTTCTAACCTTCAGATTTTAGATTTATCAACTTCGGATGTGACACCAAATTCCAAAAATTAATTGAGTAGTACACTATGAACCACTTCCAACAACAATTAACAGAAACTAGACCAACGATAGAATATCTCTTTCTATACATTTCTGTTTCAGTAAGCCCCAGGAATCTATTTTAATTTTATCTCATTTTCTATATATCAGATTAAATTTAAATTTGATATGTCCAATTTTTCATTAATATTTTAAAATCCAGATTTACGGAGGACCATTCACCCAAAAATCCATATCGGATCGTCCATACCAGAAGGCCTCGATTATAATCTACGGGAGCTACGCATGCATCCTCACTAATCCTCCTTAGCATTCCGGCAAAAGTGTTCCACTCGACACCTTGGCAAAAGATCGTTGAACTGGATTAGATCTGGATGAGTTTAAACTAGCGATCTAAAAGAATAGTAAAATAAAAAAATAAAATTAAAATAAAAATAAAAATAGATATTTATAGGGTGGGGATTTAAAAGAAGCATAAGAAAATATTATATAAAATTAAGAAAAAAAGGAAAATAGATATTTGATTTAAAAAAAGCATAACAAAATAGATATTTATGGGGCGGGGATTTAAAAGGAATCGATCATTGTTGAGTTTAAAGTACTGCTTTGCATTGTCACGCATCTACAAATAGTATCACAAAAGTATTTTAAAATTTATTAATAACCAAAACACTGCCATAAAATTCATGGGTATTTTGATAATTTTATTCATTTTAATTTTTTTAAATATTTTTAAGATCGTGATGGTGAGAAGTATTAACATACAGAATTTAAGTTAAATTCAAGATATGAAAAATGATTGTATATTATGAGACCATTTATTTTTGTTCAATGAACTCACAATCACTTTTAACCATTAGACGCGAAATCCAATAGATGAAAATATCACAACATTAAAGAGATTTAATTTGTGACCCTTGGGCATCACGGTTCAACTTCAAACCAAGTATGATAACCATCTCTACCGTCTAAACCCAGTCATTTGTCTTTTTTTACTGAAAGACCAGTTTATATATGAGCTGTTCGAACCAGAATTTCACTTAAAAATAAAACTGATCCCAGGTCACATAGAAGTCCAAACAAATGACAATTCGGAAATAAGAACCACAAATAATGGGATTTGAGCATAAAATGGAAATACGGGAGACCTTTAAATGCCCAAACCAGCGTTTTAAAAATCGCCGAGTCGAACCGGACTCGCCCGGTTCGACTCGGAATTCACGAAAAAGGGACCGGATCGGTTCAAAAACCGGGAATCGTCCGGTTCTAGAGAGAACCGGACGATTCCGTACAGTGACTCGCCGATTCACTGTGCGGAATCGGCGAGTCCGTAAAGAACACGGGTTGCACAGTGTTCTTCACGGATTCTTTTCAAATTTGTCATATTTTGATCATTTTTTTTGTTTTTTTCGACACGTGATCTG